AGACAGACAGACAGACAGACAGACAGACAGACAGATAGACTTGCTGGTGGGGTCTTCACTTTCGGTGTTCTTGAACATCGATGCTTCCTCGTTGATTTCCCTGTCTGAATTTTGTACAGCTATTGTAAAGCCACCAAGACATACTCCACAGAATCCCGCCTAAAACTATATGCATGTTCGTAATTGCTTTGATTTGTGTTTCGCAGTATGCTGCAATGTATGGACTTCTTGGTCCTCACGGATCATCAAATGTCATTCAGCTGGATTAAAATCGGCATACCGTAGAAGGAGTAGAAAGAAAAGAGAAAAGATCATCTTCTACAACTGTCCATTCTAGCAAGAGAGTGGAAAGAGAACCAGTTTATGTACATAGATAAACCTGGAAAGTGTTCGATAAAAAGATGAGCGGTGCCAATCTCAGAATGCCATCTATCTTCTTATCTCGGTCCTGTCATGCGTGGTCCATTGTTATCTTCTCGTGGCAATAGCACACCGTAACAAAGACGATACCGCCACCAATTCTCGCTCTATCCCCATCTCAGTGCTTCTCTGATTGTTTACCGTGTAGTCTTCAGCAGCAGGTTTTGAATTGCATTCATTGTTACTTTGGTGGCTCACTGGATATTATCGCGTAAGAACAATAGCCAAAGTTGCACCTGCCACCAAGTAACAAACGTTTTACAACACTATAAGAACTTGATGACTAAAACAGTTATCATATGGCCAGAAATGCTTTGGAGAACCATCAAAAACCTGGGCCAAAATCTGTTTAGGTTCAACCTTCCGGTAAAGTTGAAAAATTCAAATCTGATTGGTCCAAAATACATGTTCGTACCAAGTTGTCGCGAAGTTAAAGCAAGTACTGGGAGTTTTTGCTTCTTGGGGTAGGGGTGCGGCGAGGAATGGTCACCCGGCTATGTGTGCCCCATCATGAATGTGCTGCGCATGCCTATAGTTGGCCCGTAACACTTTCTCGTATTTTAGCCAGCAAATAGAACCAGACAATTTTATCTATTAATTCAGCAAAACTAACCGCTATATTTCAAAGCACCGCTTGTAAATGTGATTGTATATTGCAAGGAAGAAATCTTAAGAAAAGGAAAAGCTATTTATATTTTGTCCGAGAAATTAAAGTTTTGTGCTCCAGAGCACCCGTCAAATGTTTCTAAAAGTTATGAAAACCACCGGATTCTGCAGCTAAGACAGTACTGCGTGTATCTCGAAATATTTTTTGGTCAATGTTGCAGTGAAATGTGAAGCCTGTTGTCACGACTGTGAAAGAAAGTCTGGAAATTATCTTTTCCCGGACACGTACATTTCATCGTTAGTATCTTTAATATAATTCTTGTCTGAACATGAATAAACGTTAATGAAATTTCTGGATGATTGTTGTTTCTGTTTCCCTTGTCGTCGGGTCTCTATTCAGTTTGGTTTTTTTTGTCCCCGAGTGACCTGCAAATTCATATAACGGGTGATAATTTACAGTTGTTTGCTCAGTGACCTGGCCTTTGAATGGCAGCGAGGTTGGAGAGGACCTTGTTTTGATAGAAACCTCACTGTTTTGGTTGTGTAAATCAAGTTGTTATGATGCTAACGAGTGGCATTTAAACGAGAAAATCAGAAAGTTCTGTATCAAAGCAAGGTCGTCACCTCCAGCCTCACTTGCGTTCATAGACTAGGGGCCCGTTTCTCGAAAGCCCCGGAAACTTTTCGGACCCGTAAAGCCATTTTTAGTTCATCTGTTTCTAAAAACGGAGAAGTGTATACGCCTGAAACCCCTTGTATGAAGGGAACCTCTGTTCATATTGAGAATATGTGAGTAAAACAGCTCTGTAATCGTAAGGTTTGAGATTCTGCTACTGCGTTCTGGGTGCAAAAACTTTTCGGGAACTTCGAGAAACGGGTCCCAGGTAACTAAGCACACAACCATAAAATGGCCTCTTTCTATGGTCCTCTAAAAAGTAGACCCGCAGTATTGATGGATACATAGAGACAAACTGCACGGGTAGTGTGCCTATGCTTCTGAAGAATTTGAGCTGTGGACTAGATCATACCTTGTCACAATCATACGCTGCTTTCGTCTCTTGAAAGGTAATTGCTTGCAAACATTCTTTGTCGACCGTCCCGACGGTCAAATTCTACGGCTCTAGTGTTCAGATTGGTGTGAACCAAACAGAAGTAACAAAACGGCGGATTTTTTTCACCGAAGGGTGATATCACCCTGCAAATGACCCTTGAAACTAAGCACTTCTACACTAACTCAAGGCAAAGAAAGACAGATGACGAGGTCGAAGATTCTTAGTCGGTAAGATCAGTCTCAACCTTACGCCAGACCAACTGTCCGGTCGGCTTTGATTGCCGTTCTTTTTCTTTGTTCGAAAATGAGGCCGGCCTCTTTGTTGCAATGCATAACAGGGGTGTGATTATCGCCCTCGACCCTTAAATTTTTAAGCTACAAAATGGTCAGTGCGCGGTACAGTCGGACCTGTCTCAAAATCTTCCACATAGTCTACTAGTATCGGTGGTGTCTGTGTGACCTAGGCTAGAGAAAAAGGGTTGTTGGGGGGGGGCACAAACTAAGATAATAAACTCGAATCCAATATCTTCACTTCATAGTGGACAACTTGAAGCAAACAGCTTCACTTTGGGTAAATACGCGATGCAAAACCCTCTCTGTAGTGAACTCAACAAGTTGATATCGCGAGTCGAGCGACGGTTACGTATTTTTTTTGCAAGCATTAATTGATGTACATGCGAAGAAGAAAGGGAATAGTATCTTTTTTCGTGAAATTGCTCACCACATTTAGGTATCAAGCATCACTGCTTTATTTCTGCTTAACGATTTTTGTAACACCGATATATAATAACATTACTTTGCTAAGAATGTAAGGATTTGACTTCAAGCATTGTCGCCACTGTCTGATAGTTAGATCTATGACTAAAATGAAGAAACTGAATTCCGACATTATTTCATTTACAATAACTTACTACAGAGAAAAAAGATCAATCTCTTCCTATATGTTCTCCTTAGCTGCTGTGCTTTGCAGCTTTTAAAATTACTGTAATCATAGATGATTATTTCAAAAAGAAAGTCTAAACACAAAGCTTCACGCATTAATCTCTTCTTCTTTGGAGCTGCATTCAACTGGGTCCATCTCCTCCGTGCTTATAACGACCTCTTCTCCATGGGCCTGAATTACTTCGGAAAGGTACACATCCATGAAAGACTTAGAATCACCATGGTACATTTTGCTGTCATCCTCGCTATTACTCTGACGGAAGGTTGAAATATCGCTGCTGACAAATAAATGCCGTGGTAGGCCTTCGAATGTAAGTGGGGATGAGGAACTCATCGGCGTCTCCAAGGAGACGAGAACGCGGTTCTCATCTGTCTCGTCATCTGTTCTTGCATCTGCTAATTCAACCCGAGAAACAGTGGGACTATGAAGGGGACCTGGAGTCAAGTAGGTGGAGATGTTGATGTCTGGCAGGTGTGACGCAGGGAGGTCCTGGGTTGTAATTTCACCTTCAATTAAGAATTCAGGATAAATTAACTTTTACTAAAGAGAAGAAATGTCCCTTTTACAGTTAGTATTGCATTAAGTATAACTGTTGTTGTTGCTGCTTTTGTTTTGTTTGTTTTTGTTGTTTTTTTTTGATTCACATTTCACAGATCATGAAACTTTCTAAAACTCAGTTTGAGTTCCTCAGAAGAATCAATTTTGATTGTAAGAAATATTTGATTTTGGCATTAGTCACCTTATGATTTCTTCGTTGTTTTTCGTGGGCGTTTTCTGAACTTCCCCGCTTTAATTAGTAAATCAAATTAGGTGAGAGGATGTGGCGCCCGGGGTAAGGAAGCGCTCTCTTCCCTGACCAGGGTAGAAGAGTCAGTGTAGACTAACAATGTTCTCATTTTCTAAATCTCGCCAAGCCATGGCACAGCAATTTTTCTATGGCTTCTTGCGGTCACNCCCCCCCCCATATCACCCGCAGAGTTTTAATATTGAGGTAGGTAACATAATCATTGACAGATGATCCTCATTTTGATTATCAAACAAGTTTAGTTAATCTTTTAAAGGTTTTTCTAAAGGTGATCTTTTAGAAAGTTTTACGCTGAGTGGGGCGTGAAAAGCAAACGACAGTTCTTTTCTAGTATGGAAAGTTACCAATCTTTACCTCCAACTGAGTTGTTCACTACACCACTTTCTTGCACTTCAGTTGTTACTATGTCCAGTTCTTGTATGACTTCCTCTTGCTGGGTTTCGAGACTTGCACTGTGTAATGCTCTGTTCTCGTCAATAGCTCCCACAGCTTGGCTATGTACATCTTCAACTGTAGTCACGTTCTCCGGCCTAGTCGTTTCTCGGAACAGTTTCTCCTCCATAAGCCTCTTTTCTTTGGCCCGCCTGTTTTGAAACCAAACCTGCACTCTGTCCTCAGGGAGACCGGTTTTTTCCGCCATCTCTTGGCGAAATTTACCGTCAGGATATTTCTGCTCCGAGAATCCTGCCTCGAGAAGGAAGAGTTGTTCTTGAGTGAAAACGGTTCTACAGCGGCGGCGCTTCTCTTTTGGACGAAAATCTAAATAGAATAAAATAAACTGCTTTTCAACTGTCTGTAAATGAGGCGCGCTCTGAATTACTCTTTATTAAGTTTTATCTGATTGTTAACTCTTCAATTAGCTCTGAAAAGAAAGTTATGAAAATTACGAATTAAAGGTGTTCTAAACAAAACAAAATGTGTCATTAATAGTATAGACAAGAGCAAGCAAATGAAGTGTTTCCGTTATTTCGTTTACAATGTCTTGCAGAATAACTCCGAACCTGTTTTTCCACACAGAGTTTTCCTTTTATAGTTAATAACAGGCTTCGCAGTTTAAAATCTTTTGCATCTATTCCTTTTTCTTTGAATGAGATACAATGTTTCAGGCGTTCAGTTCCGTCTTTGGCGTACAAAACCATGCTTACACGTACAAAACAAAAGTACTTTATCAAACAGGTTATCTGGTTATGGCGTGACAATCAACTTACCGATAAATGAGTTATTATTACCTTCACTTTGATAGAATGATGCAGAATACGAAGCACATGGATCAAACATTGGTCTAGAATATGGTGGGGGAGCATAATACTGATAGTAAAATCGTGATGGATACATAGGCATCTGAGGTAACGCACTGGAATTCTGCAGCCCAACTGTTGGAAGGTGAGATGACAGAGCGGGATGAAAGCTTGTCGGGGGCTGAGGAGGATTGAAAATGGATCTTTCTTCTCTCGTCTCAGGATTTGAAGCTTCGCTCCATTGTTTGTGATCGTCTTCCCTCATCCCGACTTCTTTCCTTGATTCTTCCATGTCTTAACCGTTTGAGTAAAATTATAAGTAGCAGCAGGCTTTTAAATATAATTTGCTGTTTTCGTCACGAGTTCGTAATCATCCCATTTATGACGTCGCGAGACAAGCTTAGAGCGCCGACGCGCGCGCCTACATTCGGAAATTGCATGAAACGATATTATGGGCTTCTTCTCCCAATTTAGGGCATTTCAGACAAACTTGCAATATTTGGTATGATTATCTCTTTTGTAGCACAAGAAAAGAAAAGTAAAGCAAATGGGCCACCTTTTAGATAGAAAATGGGACCAAAGTCTCAGCGCTTTTTCAACACAAATGGAACGGAAGCACTCCCAGTTCTCGTCACCTCTTCTTTGTTATCCCAGAAACCTGGCTAAGGTTTGCCGTCCGATCTAGAGACGAGAATGATTAATTAAATGTAACTAATAAAGTAGGGAGTTAGATATTCTTAGTTCATATCCAAGTTTGTTTTCTTTCATCTAAAAGTAACTGAATCCAAGTAGAGTTTAGGGATTTTAATACAGCTTTTCACAACTGGTCGCTAGTTCGTGCTAGCTTAGAACTCGAACTAGTTTAGAATTTACCGTAACGGGTGGGGTAGAGACTGATTTACTACCATGTAACCCTGGTAAACTAGAATTCTGTTACGTTATAAAAGAGCAATTCCGGTTAAGCTGCGCCTGCAAGGAAATGAGCCTGAATACTCACTGCACCTCTACAGCGGTCAAACGCGCTGCGCGCGCAGTTTCCTCGCAACGTTTCCAAACTACGTACTTCAACGTCTCATATTTTCCGTAAGTTTGAAGCCAAAAGCTTAGACAGTCACTTAAAGGTTAAGCTTTATATTCATAAAGAATTTAATTTTTGTTAACCGCCTAAGTTACCGGAACATTGGACCCTTCCTCCAACCTGTTAGCACTTGGTCAGCATCAAATTGCACCCGCTAACTGAAAATTCGTGGGCGCTTTGGACTAGATTTCGTCTCAAACTTGTGAGAAGACAAGCAAATATTCCAGGTCTTCCTGTTATGGGGAACTGACCGGATACGAAAGCCCGGTGGTGATCATCCATGTTCAGGTGTTTCTGCATGAAACTTCGAAGTCTGTGTTTTCAAGTTAGTTTCATTTCCGATGATGGCTAGAAGGCAAATCTTGAAATATAAATTAAAGTTAAACTTTGCCATTTCACCCTTTTTTCTTTGCGGCTGTTTCCTTAGCATGTTGGCTTCTCTCCGCCGCTAAGGGCAATAACATGCTTTACATGTGTAGCTAAATATACGTCAGCTACAGGATATTATACAAACTCATTATCTGGCTTAACGGTGGTCGTATTACATTAGTTAATTCACAACGATGTTGTTACTGAATATGACATGTCCTCGTCGATAAGTAGTTTCTTTATATTCGTCACCAGTACACCGCCACTGACATTCAAAAACAGTAAGACGGTGCCCTCTCCTGTGAGGAGTAATAGGGGTGGACCCCTCCTCAGAGTTAAATTGTTAAACAAAAATATCCTAGAAACGTGAAAAACAAAATGGGTGTACAAGAGACTGAGCGTTTGGGGAGGAAGAAATAATTAATCGATGGATATTATGATGATAAGCAAAGAATTTTTTTTCATGTGTTCAAAGCAAGTTTTACGCGCAAACGTAACATTTTTAGCAGCCAATGTTCTTTCATTAATCAAGAGGCATAGTTTTAATTGTCCCCAGGAATATCGCGAAAAAAAAATTGCTGGGGAATTATTGTTATTTGGCCTTTTTACAGTGTAAGCCATCTGTGAGCGGATGACGTCAGCATTCACGAGTTCTCTTTGTGTACATTGGTTATTTCCTTGCTAGTTTCGTAGTACCTAGGCGAGAGAAAAAACAAGATATTTATTTTGAATTCCGCCAGTCCTTCAAATTGTTTCTTTTAGTACTATTGTTCGGAGACTGTCTTTGCGCTTACCCGTATTTTTCTACAACTTTTTTTTTGGCAATATCATTTATTTACGTCGTCCGCCCAGCGAGTAAACAAAACGCAAAGTTACAACTCGAAGGTCGGTTGGGATCGCCAGGGACGGTGCAGCTGTTTGATCGGAAGCCGATGTGTTACCGAAAGCTACCGAAGAATTCCGATCGAACCCAATCAATTGGTTAATGAGGTCACATGGCGAAGTAAATGGTCGAGGATTGGACCTCTGTACATGACGAGCGGCCCAGCAAAGTTTGTTCCCATAACAGCAACAGCGGCGAACAAGGTTGAAGCTTTCAAAAATCGAACGCGATTGTGCCGAGTGTTAGAGAAATCAGCTCCGTGAAGGGTTGATTCGGAAGATCCAACACCGGCCATGGATTGTGTGAACTTTGCAGGCTAACTATATTTTCTACGCCGCCACATATGCTTGTTCGGCAATCGACGATTTTGGTTCGGGGACCTTGAATTGCATGTGGGAAGGCAGGCGAATAATTCTAATATCTTGCGTTTACTGAGTGCCTGTGGAAGTTCAGTTGCAAATTGCGGACAAGTTGACTGTGAATGTTACTCCTTCTAAGCCCTATAAATGGGCTGTGCTCCTAGCATACACGTCTCACAATCTGGAGTATTTTATTGTAGAGACGAAATTCGCGAAGGATCAAGCCCCAGACCAAGAGCATCTTCACCAAGTGAAATTGTCGGCCATATTCGCACTAGTTCCGACTCTGGTTCGCATATTTCTACGTCGTCGTCTTCTCGCAATCGTGGAAGTAACAAAAAGGGGCAAAATTCACACAGAGGCAGTTCAATTGAAGCAGAAACACAAACTTACGACCCGAGGAGTATGGAGAGCCCCAAGGTAAAAGGCTGTTATTTTCCCGTTTGCGATTGTGGCCGACTTGTTTTAGATTAAAAGGTGTTCTGTGGAAATTTTCTACCAAATTTGTACAGTCTCGCCCTCGCAATGAGCTGATATTTTTCTGTCTGGATATCTCTTTACAGAATGAGAGAAAAGAAATTTTACTTGGACCTATGAAGTTATATCAGGCACAGATGCAGGTAGGGTTTGTGTTCGTCTTTTTCTTAGTAAAAACACACAAAGCTGGCTTTGACTTGTGGGCGAGAGACAGTTAGAGATCATGTAATATAGTGGCTACCAGTTATCTTTGTTCCGGCAACTTTGTTCGTGTTTGGCTCTTTTTCAGCTTCTTAAGCGGATCAAACTCCTCAAGCTTGAACCTGGAAATTAGATGTTTTAATATTTCGGTATAGCTTCTAACACGTATACTTTGTTTTATTCGAAGCGAAGCCTGGCTAGCGCTTCGCGTCAACAACATTCAGTGCATTTTTTCTCTGCTCAGCTGCCAGCTATTCGCATTTCAAACGCAAGAGCTTTAAATTTTGATATTTTTCACAGAATGGCAGCCCTTGTGTTATCTTTACGGGTAAGAGGGAGAAATCCTCACCTTTATTTCCCCGGTGTTTTTTTCCACGTCGAGCGCGTAAAAAGATTGGTCTGTTTTTTGTTTACAAAAGATCTCGTCGTGTGAAAGGTCCACGGCCTTCCTTTACTTAATGTTTTTGCTTGGCTTTTAGAGGTTATCGCCGCTTGTGATACCAGGAAGTTTTTTCATCCTGTCATTGCAAAACGTTCTCTCTATATAAACTACTGGGATCAAACCTTGTCAGAAAATTGATTACGTCCAAGTTCGTGAGAATTTTAATGTCGAATCGGCCGCCGAAGGACCCGAAATTTTTCATTTCATTTTGCCGGCAGTTTTTGCCGTAACGCGCTTGAAAAGTCGGCGTTTTGGTTGAATTTATGTTTTTAAAGTTTAATCTATTTTATGACCTCGAGTCGACAGGTTTTTGTTGTGGTCGCCTACAAGTTTCCCATGGCAGTTTCGAGCCAAGCATAGATAACAACATTTGCTACCAAGAAAAAAAACTCAGACCTTTTGTAAACAACCGAAGCGCGAGTTATCGTTACGTTTGAGTCGAAGTTCTTCCTAGAGTATTTGTATTTCTCCTTTCAGAAGATACAGAAGTTTACAGCATGACCTTGTATGATCATGAAGTACGATTTATGGCGTCTTGTACTAGATAAAAAAGTTGTTTCATATAAAAGGCAGCTAGGAATAAATTTTAAAAATCCTTTTAGACTTGCTGGTGATGCTACACAGATTCACTTTATGATGTTTATTTCACGATGTTTGAAACTGACATCAGAAAGAGAAATCTGCAACCAGTGTGCTGCGTTAAAATATTATTGCAGTGAGCGGTGACAGTGGAATAATGGTGGTGCTGGCAAAGAGTATTTGGTTGTGGCAATTTTAGGGTATACTGTACATGTAACTACAATAATTTACTTATAAAACATTTACAAATAAATACACATAACTGACTTTATGAACATAATATATTTATACAAGTTACAATCTTGCATTCAAGCCACCTTGGATGGACAACAAGCTTTTGGCCAAACAGTCAACTCAATTCCAATTTATGCAAAGTCACAGTGCTCTTGTCTTCTTTATTTTCTCTTTGAGAAGACTTGTGTTGTTAACTGCTTTATCCGAAAAAAAAAAAAAAAACCGTTAGAGGTATTAGCTGGTTCCAGGGAGTTATATATATATAAAAGTGGGGTTTCTTTGGTAGGATTATTTGGACTTTTCCAGTTTTTTTCTGTTCATTGAAGTTAAAAAAAAATCATGGCTATACTACAATTCTGGGAGTGAAATGAAAATGGCAGTGTTAAGTTCTCACTGTGGAAATTCAGGCCAGCGTTGGACATTTTATTTCCCAGAAATTTTACTGGTGGGAATTTGAATAGCTCGATTGATGATTGTTGATGAAATTGTTACCATAGTTCTTGTGAAGAATTGCTGCATTTATTGTCCATGTAAGTTAGAGTGTTCTTCTGGCTTTTAAAAGTTATCTGTTGAATATATCTGTGCCAGCAGACTTTTTTATTGTCTTAAAGTTTTAGACTCTCTAATATCTTGGATCTCTTGTTATGTTACATGTAGTTTCTTTCAATTGGTTTCTTGTCTTTATAACTCACTAGCTCTTAACTTGAGGATCTGGATAGGGTTACTGGAGTCTCAATCATCAGTTAAATCTTCAACAGCCTCTCATCTAGCTCTTCATTCTCTGAGCTTTTAAGTCAGTTTTGCAGGTCTCAGTTATCAGTTAAAAAACTCTTCCATTCTCTGTTGATAGTGAAAGTTTTGACCAATTCTCAGATCTCAGTAAAAGAACATTGCCCAACCACTTTTAAACATGTCGTGGTAAATCTTTGTGTCAGCCTGGTCTCATAAGCTTGTCGCAAGTTAACTTCAAAGACAAGTGTAGAACAAGAGCTTTGAAGTTTTCAAAATTGAGAAACAAAGTCACAAGATGAGCAACTGAGTCATCATGAGTTGTCCATCCCAGTTCAAATTTAATTCTCGTACATGTTTTTGACATAAAAATAAGGGTGTGATGTTATGGTGTACAGACCCTCCCCTCTCACCCAGTGACGTAAACAATTTCAGGAAAGTAAACTGGTATGAACTGGTAAACTGGTAGGAAAGTAAACTTGCGTTGTTAAGTATGTTCAGATGTTATATGATGTCTGTTTTTGTTTTTCTCACATTGTTCACTGCAAGGATTCAAAGGATTATTGAACTAGAAATGGCATTTGAAGTTAGAACTGGGGTGACACAAAATTGCATCCTCTTCCTCCATGTTGTAAAGTGCTCTATTAAAGAAAAATGTTTGTGATTGAGACAACTAAGGCGGCCTTAAGAACAATAAGACACAAACATTTACATGTCCAAAGTAATTAAATTTTGTTTCTTGCTTTGATAGATCATGCTGGTGTTTTCAAAGGAAGATGCACAAACTGATAGCTTTCTTCATGCAGCAGAAAGAGGTGGATATCTTTGTCAAATATGTAAGACATCTGAGGAAGCCATGGAACAGTACATCAATGTACAGCCAGAGGTAAGACTTGAGTTACTACGATTATCAGTTGAGTAAGGCGGACGAAAGTTTGGTCACCAAGTTTTAACGTAAAAATCGTGTTGTTGTCACGAGCAACTGGCTCCGTATCCATTGGCAACTTGTCGGCCTTTGACGTCAATTGATAGGAAAGCGCGCGAAATTGTAGGCGACGCGACAGGCGACCAACGGCTGTTGATATTGTTACCAACGGAAACGAGGTAAGTTGCCCGTGACAACAACACGATT